AAGACACCCATACCACCTTAAAACAAGCATTTTGTATAGAGGTCGGTTTCAATAGTCCTTTACAGTGCTTCAGTTATCTATTTATTCAGTTATTTATTATTATTACATTAATTGCAATGAAATACCGTGATTTCCCAGTCTAATAAAACCCGATAATTTCAGATTTCATATAAATCTTATAACGTCATATAACAATGGCTCTTGTCAAGACATTGTCGATGATGTTGCATTTAAACGAATTGGGTATGTGTTAGAAAAGAAATAGTTCCTTTTATTAATTTTTCTACTTTATTTCCATTACAAATATCAGTCAATGTAATAATAACTTATAGATAAATATATACAACTCGTGACCGACCTGCCAATTAAATCATGTGCTACGCGCTTTCATGAACTAAGTTTTTTTTGGTCACTCGTTGAATATTTTTCCATATTTGAATTCTTCAATTATTACTAAGTATTATATTTTATTATCATTATTATTATCATTATATATATATATATATATATATACTACTATGATTGTTATTATAAGTATTGTAGTTCATATAATTATTTCATTTATCTCTATCATATCTAACCTATTCATTACTAAAGTCGAAGCTCAAAACTCGATCATCTTTTCATTGTCAAATAACATTGACCTTTCCTGGAATCGTAAACAAGTAAAACATGCCACTTTCCTCAAATTCTTAAACAAATATAACCTTGAATCCTTGACATGTTTACTTCTTTTTTTCTTTTCTTTTTGCTAACCAAAAGATGGATTTGTTTCCTTGACGATTCGTTTTCCTTGATTTATCATCTTACTTTGTTTATATTTTTATATTTATAAATATACATACATATTAGGTGATGTCTTCTTGAAAAGTTACATCTTGAATCGTTGAAGGTAAGTCCTTATCCATGACTTATAGTTAATAGCAGTCAATGACGGCAAATCCATGGAATACGACAAGAAATTTAGAGAGCTTATACACTAAGTAATATGTGTTGTGAAGGTAAGGTAAAGTATAATTATTAAACACTGTATAAATAATGTTTAAAAGTAGTTCTCCGTTTACTCCCTGTTCATTGCACTTCATTAGAGTATTAATAAACTTAACGTTCTTGTTTTGGCGAGTAAAAACCGATTACTTACTTATTTTCTGGATACTGAAGCGATTTCATTTAAAACAGTTAAAATGAATAGTGTTATACCTTCTATCGAATAATCTTTTAAAATGTCCAAAATAGATTGTAACATCAAAATTGTTAACGAAAGTCATAGATCTTGGTACGACGTCGGGCAGTTAGAGTTTTTGTTTTTGTATAATGCCATCGGCTCTGATTCTCAATCAACATGTTGGAATTCACTTTTAAAGATTATCAATTCGTTTCCCGGTCACGTTTAGAATTTGATTTTTTTTTTTAATAAACGTGATATCTACATTCCTTAAACGATAAAACAATGTCTTAAGGATGCAAATTAATGATAGTAATTTCAAGCTTAAGTAAAAAAAACCAAACTAGGTTCAATATTGATAGATTTCTTGATTATGAAATGTCAAGTAGCAAATATATCGTGCATAGTCAGGACAACTTAATAATTATTTCGAAAAACAAACAACAGTCAACAAAACACTTAACAGAAGGAGAAAATATTCAGTAACAAGAACCCCAAAAAACAAATCCTGAAGGGTATTCAGTTTATTGAATGACATCCACTATAAACATAATATTCATGAATATATGTGAATGTGCATGCTGATTTTTGTCATACTCCTTTAGCATTATAAAAACAGAGTGACAATTGTGCCTTTCTTGCAGGCAGTTAGTACAAATTAAAGAAAAACTGAAAAAATCATGTTCACCAGTGGGGATTTTTGTTTATATATCTATATATATATTTTTTTTCTTCATCTAATTCAACCTTCAACTTGAATAAATGTGTTCAGTAGATGGTGTACATTTTCTACAACCACATTGTTCAAATATATTGACTTCAGTAGGATTTACTGTAATACGTTTTATTTTTAGGTCTTTCCACTTTTCGTGGAAAGACCTTTTGTTTATGTCAAGTATGTTCTGATTATTTTTTTTTTCTTTTGCCGTCTGAGATGCTTTTTTGTTTTACGACATATCGAATGAATTTTTGGCCAATGATGTCGAACGGTGATGGGGATTTCCCAACTCACCCTGTGTAACCGAACACTTATTCTTATAGGAGTTATCTCCCCTTGTCCCCTTTTTCTTCTTATCTTTATTTCTCTGATACCGTAAAAAATATCAACAAACTTTTTTCATCAAATTGTTTTTCTAATGTTAAAGATGTTTTGGTTAAGTTAAACCGAGTAATCCAATGACATCTTATGGGAGTTATTTCCCTTTAAAAATTTTCAATAACTGATATGTTGAAGAAATTCATACTTCATAAGTAATAGAGGCCTAAAGTCTTTTGATATGAAGTCCTTGGTCCATTTGGAGGAAATTAAGGTCAAGGTCAAAGGTCAAGGTCATGTTCTAAATTTTGAACTCAGCTTGTTATCTTCTTATAATCCAAACAAACCATTACAGTTAATGGTATGATGCAAATGCCAAATTATTGTTTTCGACATGGCGCAACTTCAACCCATTTAAGTCGAAGAGTTTCGGTCACGCTTTATAGGAGTTTTCTCCCCTTATGTATTTTGAATCAGTATTACTCTTCAACCATACAAGTGAATGACCTGAGATCTTTAATTTGAAATAACTGACCTACAACCGTGAAATTGAGGTCGAGGTCGTTCTAAATTTGAACTTTGCTTGGTATCTTTATTCCAAAGAAACTGCAACAGTTAAGGATACAATGCGTTTGCCAGATAATTGTTCACGACATGGCGCAACTTCAACACATTTAAGTCAAAGTGTTTCGGTCATCCTTTTCGGGATTTTTCTCCCCTTATGTATTTGAAATCAGTATTACTCCTAAACCATACAAGTGAATGATCAGGGATTTTTTTATTTGAGATAATTGACTATGACCTTGAAATTGAGGTCAAGGTCAAAGGTCAATTCGAGTTCTAGATTTTGACCTTTGCTAAAAATTCATACTGATTCATTATAAAACCATTAGTTCTATTGCATTTGGTTTTGTTGACATTTGACCTTTTAAAAGATTAACCAGAAGTGAACTTATCTTAACCGGAAGTACCATATTTCGATGAAAAAGTACATAGAATCTTAATTTTTAAAATCAGTTTGAAGTAACAAATTACACCAAAAGTGATACCTTTAACATCGTTTTTTAAATTTCGTTCTGTATTATCGATGTTCCGGTGGAAAGACCTTTAATTGTTCTCTGAACGATTGGTTTTTAATATTGTTATTATTATTCTTCTGAAAAAAAATTCCACATGCATGTTATCTGATCTTCTCTGAAACTACATGTCCAATTGACCTCAAAATTTGCAGTCAGCAGGGTATACATGTATTACACCTTGATATAACAATGTTGGCCAGCTACCTCCTAAGAATTTTCGTAGAGAGCAGAAATTTCAATGCCGTAAAAATCGCTTGCTAGCTCCGTAAATCTTAGTGAAATCCTACAATAAAATGTCTGCTCCTAGATTAAAATACAAATCTGTGTTACAAACTGGTGCTGAAAAATGTACATTGTATGAAAATAATCGATAAACGTGTTTTAAAGTTTCACCGGATCAAGTAAATCCAAAGCATGCACTTCTCGTGAAGTTTGATCAAAACATCAAATACCTACAATAACAAAAGAAATACATTGTGTGCATTCCGTCGCTATACATGTTGTCTGTCCAACGTCTCCACCTAAAAAGAAATAAAAATGCTAAGTTTTCGCTATTATAAGGCGTCGTCACGTGACGCCATAATCTGGCGCGAGACAAATACGCGCGCGGGACCTGAAATAGAATAAAAACTTTCCAAACTAAATATAGAAACTTAACCAACACACTAATATGGACCCTTTAAAGTAACAAACAAACAAACACATAACAATCAATCATGTTTCAAAGGGGGAAGACCGTTTACAATTGATTTTTTAAAGCATTTGATTTATATTTATTTTTGTATTTGTTTTGTATATGTTTTTTTATTTTTATAAACTATATCCTAATTGTTCATAAAATGTTTATCTGTTATTTTGAAGTTTTAATATCGCTAAACTACATAATTAAGAACACGTATGATAGCTTGAGCATGAGCAACGCAAACCTTGTTATATAACTTGTATAAACTAAAGGGATCGTTTAAGTGCTTTAAAGTTAATAGACCCGAAAAGTTGTACAGAGATCTCGATTTTTATTTATATCATAGGAGATTTTCCGAATTTTGGCATTAATTATGGTATTTTTAGTCAAAATAACGATTCTAAGTATTAAATATTACTTTATTATTAATCATTTATATTTATTTTCGTGGATATCAATTTTCTTGGATCGAGGAAACAGTTCATATTGTAGATATTTGATTTCGTGCACTTAGCTGAGCAGTAAAATTCGTTGTCTACTTTAACCCATGAAATTCACGAAAAATGGTATCCCATGAACATTAATGAATCCACAGTAGATTGTAATCTAGACCACAACTATATGTGTAACCTTTAATATCTAAATTACCATGCGGTAGGTCATGTATAAAGATGCACAATTCACGTTTGCATTATGCACGGAACACACATTTTGAATCGTCGCTCCTAAAATAAAAAAAAAACTATGTACATCGCATTTCTCTTTTCATGATCCGCATTCAACCAGTGTTTGTTCTATCAAATATGACAAACGACAAGGACTGCGAATTGAAAACCGCAATGTTTGCATCGCTTTTCTTCTGGTTTCCGAAGTTTGTAAAAGCACATTTTAATTTTTCTAACAATTTACTTCTAGAGATTGTACGTGCATACATGTTTTGAAACGCTCAAGCGTATATAGGATTTTCACAATAGGATACATATCATCATCATCAGCATCACTTATAGTTACTTTACTTGTCATAGATGGCAGCAAGCATTATATTTTACACTATTGTAGAAAGTACAGTTTTACTGAAGCGGCCATAGGAAGACAAAATGAAGTTCGCATTGTTGATGCTGGTATTTCTTGCCATAGTCACAGGTATTAACTAATGAGTAACTGCATGTTAGATTCAGTGCTTGCTCCAGTATCGTGTTCAATTAAAAATCTTAAGTACTAGTTTGTCAAACGCGTTTTAAATGTAACCGTTCCTCGTTTCACTTGCACTATAGTTATTAATTTATTTCTACAAATATATGCGCTTCAATTCCTCTGATTACGTTTTATTCATAAATGTCTCTATGCTCATTGGTATCGTTAATGCATTCAATAGTTCTTCAAACAAAAAATGATGTCATTATTAAGCGCAAAACTAGGCGTTCCTGGCATAATATTTATGAAGTATGCTCTTGACGAAAAGTGTAAAAAATCCATTCGAAAACCATTTGGAGAAATTCAATCAACATGGCCTAGAAATATCCAGTCTATCCAGTCTATGGTAATCTTTCATTCAGTGAGTTGTAACATTAGTTTAACGAAAATTGCATTGCTTAACGAACAAACAATTTCCAAAAACATTGAATTGTTATATTTATCCTGCTAAAACCGAACCCATGGCTCCTCGATTGATGGTACACTTGGAACCCTATTGACATAGGCAACCTAATCTGGCACTTACCCAGTAGTACTAAAAACCAATGGTAGGATTTACGTCTGCAAAACATGGGATCTGCAACAAATCTCATCTGGTGCATTCTTGAATTCAACTTTGAAAGACTAGAAATATATAAGGTTTGCTGACAATAGAATAAAGAAGACCAAGAATATAAAAACTTTGAGTGAAATATGAACGAAAAAAGGTAGTCAAAGGACTGCCAAAACCGTGTATTGACTTTGCCTAAAGGACGAGCAACGTTGGTTACAGAACATTATGCAACAAAATAGAACGACACACATAATTAGCATTATCTATAGCTTTCAAATCTCGAAGGACAGACTTTTTGTTGAAAAGCACACCTGGAGACAAGAATAACAGCAGTACCAACATAGAAGTTGATAAAACATAACACATGTTCGTTACTCACAACATAAGTTTCAAGTCATTTTATTCTAAACTCCAACAAGTTTTAAATCCTCGAAGCTTTTTTGAAGGTTCAGTTCAGAATATGTACCTGTAAATATCCTTCTAGAGATGTTTAACTCTAACGAAACAAAACGAGTTAAATTCATGAGTGGTTATTTTCCTAACTAAGAGTAATAACACAAAACTAAAACACAAAACTAAATCACAAAAAATATAATACTTGTTCAAGAGTCGCATACAAAATTTTGATCTAATAAATGCAGAATACAGAACGAACATTTACCGCTTTTTAACTCTCCTAAAACAGTTAAAACGGTCATACATGTAGTTTAAGACTAGCGCGATTGAAGAAATTCTAATATTAACTGATCCCTAAAAAAGACTATGTATAAAACTTCATTAAACGTAAACATGATATTTTAAGAATAGTTTTTGTTTTGTTTGTGACGTGTTCAAATCAGTATAGAAATACGTAATATAAGAAAAGTATATAATTGTATCCTTCAACAGCTTTTAAAATGCATTTATTATATAGTTATTTAATATATCTAAAATAAAGTAAAATAAATAGTATAGTTTCTATCAAATTAATTGTATGACAACCTTGTGTATTATATTTAATCACTAATTACAAATCAAGTGAACATTATCCAAACTGATCAATAGATTACATTGCATAAAGACAGAATGGTCAACAAATCTAAAATATCATATTGTTCTTTCTGATGATTAAATTCCAGTATAACGAAAAGACTGTATCTTAAAGTATTCGTCTTTTGGAAAATGTATTGTCCGTTGGATCTTTACTCAATTCATCTCGACTCAGTCGATAAACACTTCATATAAAATATGGATGAAGTACATCAAAATAAGCTTGTACCTAAAATATTTCCATTATTAACATCTGTGACAATAATTTTAAAATATATACCTTTAATGAGATGTTATGGCCTACTTGTTCATACAAATAGAATAAATTTGTTAATCTTTAAATAACATAAATACCAAATCAATTAGTCAAATGTTGTATTTTTTGCATGAAGAAGATGTTGCAATCTCAGTTCTTAAAAAAAAATCCATCTTAATCTTACATATTTCAAGCTTCAAAATGCATTGCAGTTATATCTTTTTTTAACAAACAAACACAGCGTACAGGTCGCCCAAGATATTTTCATTAACTAGAACGTTTTTCTTTTCGGACTGATATGATTTAAATAATCTTTTCTGTGCCGATAGTCAAAATCTTCGGTACCAATAACTGTAATTTTACATGTGTTAACTAAAAATAACTTTTTAGTTAAATAGAAATTCTTTACTATGTACTGGAAAGGAAAAGCCTTTTCTGTGTTTCAGAAGAATTCTAATGGTTATCGTTTCCAATTTTAGATGATGTACTTTCCCAACTTTGTGGTTGTAATCCGATAACAGATTTAGTTTGTTCAAGATTTGGTGTGACTTTCGAAAATGAATGTTTCATGCGATGCAGGTAAGTATGTTCTACAAAACAAACAATTCATCTATTATGTTTTAAAACAAATCACATAGTTAAATTAATTGAAATCACTGTTCAATTGATATTGTCTCCCTTAAACTGTGTCGTACAGGCTTAACAAATTTGCAAAGCGATATGCTGAGCTGGCATATTTAAACCCCAGCTTATGAATATCAAACAATGAATTGGACATGAGAACTGTTCTAGATCCTTTTTTTAATTTAAAAGTATTGATATATAACAGTTTAAATTTTATTGAACCAGAAGCACTTCAATACAGTTTCCCAGTGATGCTAGGTGCCAAAATATTTCTAAAAGAACCAAAGGTATAGCCAAACACATAGGATGAATCAGAGCAATTTTAAGTGATACATTTCATAATTCATATAATGTCAATAGTTTCACCACTGCAAATTTCTTTAATCAATATCCCTATTTCCTTCCAAGTATTGAAGCATTACACTTCCGGGATTGTGATGCCCTCTTGGGACTAACAATTAAATAGCAGAGGTATCTCGATCCAGTTATAACAAAGGCAAAACACGGGATCATTTTTAATGCACTTGAAGCGCATTTCCATATATCATGGCTCTTTAGTGATACTCGAAGCCAAAGTGTTTGGAATCAAAACCTAATACAAACGTTGAGGAGCTGATATGACCGTAGTTGACAAAAAGTATAGCCAATAAACATAGATATATGTTTCGGTTCTTATACATCATTGGCTTTCAAATCTTTGGCTTTGACCGTTCCTGGTGAAGGTAGAATTAAAAAAAAACGCTTCGAACGCATGAAATTTACAACGTGTTGTGTTCATTTTTTTTAAGAGCATTATGACATAAAACTTCCGGACATGAATCAGAGAGAGAATACATGAGAGAAATGCGTTCTTTATTTTGTCTGTCGCATTTGAATTGACAAGAAGAACTCTTTGTTCGGAATTGATAAAATTGATACATTGTTTTTATTAACACCAACCGTAAGGTAACGTAAGTTGGTGATATCACGGGTTGATCCATATGAATACCATAGAAATAGAGGTAAAAGTTACCAACGGGACATTAAAAAATAAATGTATAAAAATAACTTTTATATATTTTAACTTTCCGAGATTTAACAAATTATAAATCCTTTAAATAGAAGAATGCATTATAAAATTTATGTAGATATCTGAACAAGTTCAAATATTTTGAAATATTGCTTCTTGAAAGCCTGTCCAACGAATTCCTAAAATTAATCGGTTCCATTTTACAAATAAACGTTGGTAAGGAGTAAATGGTCGAATTTTCCGAACATTGTGAAAAAAGTGCCGAAAAGGCAAACGTAAACATTACGTCGTATATGCTTTGTCCAAAGAATCCTCATTGGTCAATGTTTTTACATATAACACGTTCACTTAAATTGACATTACAGTAAAAACGAATTTGATGACACTTATAAAAAATTATAAAAGTTATGTTGTGTTAATAAAACAGATAATTTAGTGGCAATTTATATAATTTTAAAATTTATGATTATATGATTTTTCCTATATGCAGTTTCGCTTGTTCTTATTGTTTGCAATTTTCATGAAACCCGTGAGATTGCTAAATTATTCTCCTGTTCCCTTAACGTTTGATTGAAATTTCATAGAAAACTAAACATATACAACTGTTTAAGGTTTTTGAAATACGTATAAGATTATGTGATTGCTGGTCATCAGATTTGACTCAAATTTGTAACTCAAATTTCACCAATAGAAAACTATCTGTACCAGATAAATATTCAACTTTACACATTGTTGTTGAGAAAATAAATGTGCATGTGTTTTACTACACCTTTAACTAGGAACTGCTTATTTTTTTACCACAACACTCACAAAACTCGGTCTACAAGCATTCATCATAAATCAGAATTGTCAATTTTATACAATTCCATAATACTTATGTGTAGGTATATTGATGTATTTTCTATTACAGTTGTAATGTGACGTATAGTATTATTACCGAGTAATTGAGGAATGATTTGTCTCATAAGATTACTAAAAGGAAAATCTGTATTGTTGGTTCATTATTATTTGTGGGGTATAAATTTTGGTGGATTTCGTGGGGATAGTTATGTATGTTACCACGTATGTATGTGTTCAATGAAATAATAATCCCCTTAAGGTCTGTGTGTAAACTTTGGCAATAGTTATCAAAGGTACCAGGATTATAATTGAATACGCCAGACGCGCGTTTCGTCTACATAAGACTCATGGTTGACGCTCAGATCAAAATCGTTTTAAAACCAAACAAGTACAAATTTAAAGAGCATTGAGGACCCAAAATTCCAAAAAGTTGTGCCAAATACGGCTAAGGTAATCTAATCCTGGGATAAGAAAATCCTTAGTTTTACGAAAAATTCAAAGTTTTGTAACAGGACATTTATAAAAATGACCATATAATTGATATTCATGTCAACACCGAATTTGCAAAACACAAAATCAAGTATCCACGAAATTACTATCTTGCTCAGTCAACAGATTGCATACAAAATCAATGGATAATATTGAAGATTTTATATAATCAATGTAGGTAAGAAATGAATGATTTTCATAACAATAGCCCATTACAGACGTCAAAGTGATATGTTATACTTTTTATTACAGTGGACAAGATTTTGGTTGCCGTGGTCCTTGTCCATGTCTATTTTAACATGTATCCGAAAAAGGTCAGTAGGAATGTAACAGAATTAATTTTTAGAATGTTGGTAAAGGACATATTAAATTGAGAATGGTCACGGGGAATGTGTCAACCAAAGAGCAGAAAACAGCCCAAGGCCACCAATTGGTCTTCAACACATAGAGAAAATCCCGCACCTGAGGCGGGCTTCAGTTGGCCCCTTAACAAAATGTGTACTAGTTCAGCGTAAATGGACGTCACAGTAAAATACGAAATATAGAAATGAACCAAAATAAATAAACATACAAGACTAACAAAGGCCAGAGTTTCCTGACTTGGGGCAGGCGCAAAAATGCAGCAGGGTTATACAAGTCCGAGTCCGATGTTAGAACGGGTAACAGAAGAAACTATATAAGCTAAATGACAATGATCAACACAAATTAACAAAGGACTACTAACAGTTACTAAAACGCCAGCTCCAGACCTCAACTAAACTGATTGAAAGATTATGTCTTCATCATATGAACATCAAGTACAATCCCTCCCGTTAGAGGTTTATTATCATACCATCATAAAATACACGAGAAGAACATAACCCGTGTCATGCCAACAACTGGTTTTGAAATAAATGTGTTTTTCCCGATGCAAAGACCCAATGAGTGAATCAATATTAATTAAAAAAAATGCAATATTTAATGACCTGACAACAGTATCGTAACTATATCACTTCTGAATAAGTCTGTTTAAAGGTTTGGTTAGCTTTTTAGGTGAATGACGACATTTTTGTGTTTAGTATAGAATATTACAATAAAAAATTGGATGTGAAGTACCTAAACGTTTCAGATGTCTGCACGTTGATTTATATTTACGAATGGTGTCCTTGTATCAATGACATGTATGGGCACATAAGCGATTTCAGTTACCGAATAATCTCAAATGGGAATCAAAATAAAAAATTACAGAGCAAAGTACTCAGATGAGATGAGAAAAACACAACAGAAACTACAAACAAAAAGAGACATATTCGAATAATGCACACTTTAAACAAAATATTTGGTCAATATCAACTCACATCGGAACTAGGAAGATACATATAATATATATATTTATCAGGAATTGGTTAGAAGCCACTTTTTGGACCCCTGTCGTTTCAAAAGTGGTTTGATTTAATAATTAAAGGATCCTCCAGATGTTAGAAATTTATTTAATATGTCGGCTATCAGTAATTATATATTCTAATTTCCCCTTATGACCTTCAATTTCTTGCAATAAACAAAATTCAAACTGTAAAAAGGTCTCATTTAATACAATTTATATTTCAAAATAAACGACTGACATACTAACATATAATTCGCGTAAAAAAATCATATACAAAGACGTCCATATGTTTGTTTTGTTCTTGCTGCTCATATACAATCCTGTAATACTGTAAAATGATCATCATTGTTTAATTGCTAATAATGTAAACATGGTTAATGCTAGTACAGTTAGTCTTTTAAACTAGATTTAACAGACTGCTTATTTCATTCATTACTACAATTCAAATATTTTTTACAGAATGAATTAGTATTCGTTATAACCATACAAGGGGAATAATTATGTGTTTTTAATCATCCTTACAAAGAAACAAGCCCAGTAGAGTATTATGAACTCAAAATCCTTGTTTTAATCAAAAGGAATACAATATTCCAAATACATAAATATTTAATGAAATTGATATTTAAGATTTGTTTCGAAAAAACAACTAAATGTATACGGAGGATTACACTAACAAAGGTTTTGTAATTATGGAGTGATGGCTCTTTCTGACGATTATGCTTTGTGTTATTGCAACTTAATTTCAATGAGAACTTCATTATTTTACATTGTTCCTGTAATATTCATTATCTATAAGATTATATTGGATTTTAAGCAGCAATTATAGAGCCCTATAATATAGAACACACTAAGTTTTTTTTTAATACTTATTTCACATTTGTTTTTCAGAAGCAAGTGAGACTGTCCGCACCAAGTGAGATTGATAAATAAAATGAAAAACAATTAAGATTTTGTCTTGGCTATTGTTTTGGGAATTTCATAATGAGTAAGATATGATTTTCAACTAATTTAAACTATCTGCCATTGTTGGTGCGTATTTGTGATTGCATATATATGTATGTAAAAATGTTTATGCGACAACTGTAAAACATGCATTCTCAATTGGATAACCTTGGGATATCTAGATGGTATACCTTGCAGATCAGAATTTTGTTTAGCTATAAGTTTATAATATTCATCATTTAGTCACATAACCTAGCATATTTTTGATAGCAGGGTTTAGACTCTCAATCATCAGGTTTGAACACAGGCTTGGTTAAACCACTCGGCCATCTAGGTTTTTTACCAATATTTGCGAAAAATACCAGTCGAGAGAATGTTAAATTTCGCGAGCCCAAAGGCGAGGGGAATTCATTCTCAAGACTGGTATTTTTCGCAAATACCCCTCAAGAACATGCTATATCTGTTTAATTACACCGAATGTTAACGTTCAAAAACGCATTAATGATCATGACGTTACAAACGTCCAGTCGGATAGAGTATGTTTTGGCAAATACCATGGCAGAGAGGGTAAAAAAGGCATATCCTTTTTGCATATACCCCGGCGGCGTTAAAAAATGAACGATATTCATTTGATAACAGTAAATTGGTGAAAAATACACTGCCTATCAACCAATCAAAACCCAGGATTCTTGCATAAGGTGTAATTATTCCAGATATAACATTGATTGGCTAAATTTCATACAAAATATTTGAAAGAGCAAATATACTTCCGAAATCCTCACACTGACAACTAAACATTGAGAAAAAACGAGACTTATAAAAAAAAAATGCGATAACAGTCATTTTGTTGTTAGCGTCAGTCGTCGTGATTCTCAATCTATTTGATACGTCGTCGTCAGTGAAAAACTTTCCTGCAATAATATTTTGGTAGATTTTGTCTTTTGTCTAACCATTAGACATTACCACATTCATAAATAATTGGTACATTTAAAGTATCCACAACCAAAAGTGAATTTTTGAAATAACGATAAGTTTTTTTGACATAGAAAACATATCAAGATATACCTGACAAAGGAATGCCTGGGAAAGCCTTTCCTATGAATCAAATTTATAAGTGTTGATTCAATTTTCCAAAACAATTAACCACGCACATACGTGTAGGACAACAAAATCTTACAATATATCTTGAACCACACAAAATGAAAACTAGGAGTGAACAAAGGTGCTGCAAAAGGGCAACATATTATCTAGAAGCACCCGACGCTTTACTCATGAACAGTAAAAATCCAGTGACACATTTGTGAATCGTCTAACATGATGAAATAAACAAAGAGGTTGACGAGTATCGGGCAACAACAAACATATCTGTTATTGAAAGATAATAATAATAATATTATTATTAATAATAATGATATATATTATTATCATTATTATAATATTCTTTATTTAAATCGGGTAATCCAATTAGTTTTTACTAATCTTACTTGGGGTCCTCATAAAGTAAGTACAAAAATGATATAGTACATACAGATAAACAATAAAAACAATAAAAACAAACAAGTAGTATATATACATCAGATTAATATCATTCATAGTGTTCATGTTAATTAATAATCTATCTCTGTGTGGCTTGATGGAGATATTTGAATGATGTTGATGTTTATATGTTCGTTGGTAAACTATTCCATAGAATTGCAGAACTGTATGCAAAAGATTTTTTCATTATATTTGTGTTTGCCTGAATAACTACCAAATTGTTTTTGAGACGGATCTTAAATTTCTTTCATAAATTTCAGAGTTCTGAACACACAACTTTTTCAGATAATCAGGAGTTGTGTCGTGTAAGATTTTATACACTAGAATTAGTTTATGATATGAAATTCTGTCTCGGAAACTTAACCAATTTAATCTGTCAAAAAATTCTCTCGATTGCTGCTCTTTTCTGGAGTTTTAATAATCTCTGCAGGCATTCTTCATTACCATTACCCCATACTGTGCAACAGTAGTCAAATATTGGTAAAATATAAGATTATTAAATACAATTTTATTTTTGTGTTCTAAGTATTTTTTGATTTTTGCAAAATAAACAACCTGCAGCTAATGATTTTAGAAATTTGATTAATTTGCTTTTTCCAAGTAAGGTGGTGATCTATTTCGATTCCTGATACCATTTGTGTATTCACCATTTGAATAATTGTATCATCTATACTATCATTTATTTGATTGTATAATATATTTTTACTTTGGGGAGTACTTATTGTTTTATAGGAAGGTTATCTTTCTGGTAGTAAAACCCGTCCCGGCCAGGCTGGGAAACTGGGTAGGCAAATGCTCACATTAAATATGTAGTGTATACAGTGTGTTAAATGTCCTCCTTTACACCAAAACTCATGGTGGTGCTCCTACTAAAGCAGGAAGATACAAAACATACATACATTAGCATACTTGTGGTTTTTGCTGGATTTATTAACATGTTGTTCTTATTATGCCAAATATTTACTAAACAGAGAATATTATTTAAATTATTTTTCGATAGAATGGATACTTTTACTAACACAGTGTAATGTTGCGTCTTCAGCAGTGGCGGATCCAGAGGGGGCGTAGAGGGCGTACGCCCCCTCCTTTGCTTGCACTTTTTTTTTTGTAAAATGATTAATCAGAATAGACTTCGTGAACTTTGCCATTTCCCGTGTATTTAATTTTTATGCAACAATTCCTTACTCATAAAGATATTTTTCGCTCGTATATACTGTAATATATAATGGATTATGTCAAACTGAGACTACTATAACACAGTATAGTAGTCTCAGTGTCAAATTCATGTGATTCGCTGCGTTGGAGACTTGACCAGTGCGTCGACAAAACGTCACTCAGTTATTTTGAAATTTAAATTACAGTAAGACATTGCTTAGGCTGAGGATGACAAGCATGACACATTCAAAGCGACAAAAGATTGAGCAAGAACGTATAATTGACTTCTATTTCACAATTCCACCAAACAGAAAGTAATACTCTATTACACTCTCATGAAAGTTCCACAGCAATATCATTTACCTACGAAAACAAGTTTAACCCCATACGCCCCAGCCTATTAATAACATAGCTGAATAATGATCCCCAGTCAGTAAGCTCTAGATAGATTTAAAGTATATTTAAGGTACGGACTATTTGATTTGAGAGGGCAGTCTGAGATATTTGAGAGAAAATATTCTGACCCTGATTTTTGCCTTAAACAAATGTTCTGGCCGTATCTGGATTGCAAACAATAATCTTGTCCACTTTTTTGCTATTAGAAACAAAAAATTCCAACTTAATTATTTAGCATTAAATGAACATGATGAATAAAAAACGGCCTAAAAAAGAGGGACGAAAGATACCAGAGGGACAGTCAAACTCATTGATCGAAAACAAACTGACAACGTCATGGCCAAAAATAAAAAGACAAACAGACAAATAATAGTACAGATGACACAACATAGAAAACTAAAGACTAAGCAACACGAACCCCACCAAAAACTGGGGGTGATCTCAGGTGCTCCGGAAGGGTAAGCAGATCCTGCTCCACATGTGGCACCCGTCGTGTTGCTTATGTTATTACAAATCCGGTAAATAGTCTAATTCGGTAAGTCACATTCGTGAAAAGGGAAGGGTATTGTATTTACGACATAAGGAACATATCCGATATCATCTGTGAAACGGTTATTCCATAACGGTCAACCAACTCGTGATGGCGTCCGTAAAATTTACGAAGGGATGACTTCAACTTCACCATTTGGAACTCTTGGTTTAATAGCTTCCTTGTGAGCAGCAATCCTCTATCAAGGAAATCATGATAGGAAACACAAGCCCGGGAATATCGTATCAATTGGGAGATATATACTCCGTATGCAGGCGCTGCTGGAATGTTGCTACATAGAAATGGAACGTTAACAATAGGGAAGCTGAAATCATCTCTTTTGTCGTAAAGTTTTGTTTTCAACCGACCCTCATTGTCAATTTCTAGATGTAAGTCAAGATATGAGGCAGACTTAACTGTATCTGTAGTATCCTTTATCTCTAGTTCGATGGGATAGATTCGTTCAACATAGTCACCAAATTTTGTATTATTTAGTGAGAGAACATCATCTATATAGCGGAACGTAGAGTTAAAGGATATTGCTTACTTCTTATCTCTCTTCCTAAGAAGCTCCTGTATGAAGTCAGCCTCATAATAATAAAGAAACAAGTCGGCAAGAAGAGGGGCACAATTGGTTCCCATTGGAATTCCGACAGTCTGTTGAAAAACACGTCCTCCAAACATAACAAATATGTTGTCAATCAAGAAATCAAGCATCTTGATAATGTCAGTTTCAGAGAATTTTTTGTTTGAATCAGAGTGATTCTTTACAAAGTAGGATTATTCCCTCCCCAAGACAAGATACTTGTATCTACGTTCGCCATTCTTTTTAATGAAACAAAGTAATACCAACTCTTTCAATTCGTCTTTTAGTTTGGAATGGGGAATACTTGTGTAAAGTGTAGAAAAGTCAAATGTTTTAATACTATTGCAAGATGAGAGAGTCTTAGATTGTATGTACTCTAAAAGATCTTTGGAATTTTTTAGTATCCACATCTGATTCACGCCACCTCTAGAATAGGCAGTTTCACAATAACTTTGGAGCCCGGCTTTGATTGCTGATAAAATAGATGTTAATAATTTAGAAAGAGGTTTCTTGGAGCACTTGGAAGACCCAGCACTATACCGTTGTTTGTAAGGACACTTATGTAGTTTAGGTATCCAATACAGTGATGGAAGATCCAGTTCTTCGTCTTTGGTTGAAATTCCAAAGGAACATAGAACAGACCTATGATAATCTAGGATTTCCTCTTTGGTAAGTGTCGTGAGGGTATATGTTGAGTTTCCATGTGAATTGTCAATACCTAATTGTTTTTGGGTCCGGGGGTTTGCATGTAAATCCCATATCTGACCGGAATGTCTGTTTCGCCGAACTGATATATTGAATT